ATCAGTTTTCACATATTTAATGACTTGCTGAAGTTGTAGTGCACAGTGGAGTGATATTGCTGAGAGTGAAATGATTAAGAGAGGCAGGCATGATATTATCAATAAATATGACCGTATTCCGTAGTATTATAGACACATCTTTATTGTATGAACCATCAGTTCCTTGCGCTGCTCACTTTTACTTTAGAAGTACAATGTACTTCCAGATATTGCAACCATGAATAGTTCTAATTATATTATTTTAAACTGAAGCTTGGTTTGGGTTATCTTTCCAGACTTTACAGGAAGCCGCCATTTTATTTTCTAATTGCATGTTTTCATATTTTCAAGGTCCTCAGGTACTCACAAATTTTCAACATTACCAAAGGTTTCTCCTCCACCCCTGTCAAATAATTATAACAACTTCAGCAGCAGAAAGTAAGCAATGTGTGTATATTAATCAAGTGTTGTCCACCGAGTGGATTTTTTGCCTCACATTAACTTTGGACTTTTTCAGTGCTAGTCATTTAGTTCCTTTTTGCTAGCTTTCTTGCAAGTTTTTTATTAACAAATCCAGATTTTTGGGTAATGCTATGAATTTTGTAGTGAGTATATATTTGTTACAGGCCATTAATTTCACATGAGTTGCAATTAACTTGCATTGACTGTAGTACCAAAGTAGAAAGCTGTGTGGAACTGAGGTCCTGATATCGGTAAATACTGATACTGGCTGGCACAAAGAGTATCCTTTTTGCTAATTTGCATGTTATCTGTGTATCAGCTTGCAGAAGTCAACTTCACCAACTAAACAGTAATTGGCTGCTTTTTTTCTTTATATACAACATTTTATCAACAAATTAAACTAATGTTGTGAATGCATGTTATCATAAAACAAGCTATTCAACTCTTAGTTTTGGAAAAAAAAAGTAATGAATTGTTTTACAACTGCTAATGTACTGCACTTCTTATACCCTGAACAATACTTTACAAAGAGTCGATCCAATACATAGTGACTGTCAGGGCTGCTCCTCTGCTCAGTGGATGGGGCTTCAATAGCCAGCCTGCTATTGGCGATTGCAATTTGAAATGGCCAATAGCAGGCTGGCTATTGAAACCCCACCTACTGAGCAGAGAAGCGGACCTGAGAGAGAAAGTTTGCATGGCTATTGCTCCCGGCTGCGTACATTCACCTGTCGGCTGCGGAAGCAGGGCTCCGCGGAGGGGTTGTTGCTTGAGCGTTACTATTGAAGTCTCAAGCACCCCATAACTACAGTTATCCGGCACCTACTGATCCCCATGGGTGCCGGATAACTGGAAGTTTAATGTACAATGTAGGATGTTTGGTCCTACTTTAAGTAAGGATGCCAAGAGCATTCACACAACCCAGTGTGTTGGAGTGAAGAGGAAAGTGCCAGCTGACTTGGGAAGGCAAGTAAAACTGCTTTTTGAGCTACCCTAGACAAAAACAAGCAGAACCCCCACTGCATGGGTAGTTTTGTAATTTTCCTGGAGAGAACAAAAATTTTATGCATTGCAGCTCACCAGTGCTTGATACTGTGGCTGCATTGGTTTTCTTTTTTTTCAGAATTTTGTTTTGTTGATTTTCACCAGGTGATCCTGCCAGTATTGCACTTTCTGTCCTATGGTGAAACGCTCTCGTACTGTATGTATGGAGGAGCAGCATCCTGTTAGAATGGAAAGAATGTTCAGATTAAAGATCACCTCCTCCCCTTCTGTGTGACATGGGTGGAGACGTTCTAGAATTCACAGAGAGAACTAGAAACAATGCTAGATTGTAAGCTCACACGAGCAGGGCCCTCCTTACTCTTTTGTCTTGCATTGTATTTTAACTATAGTTTTTTTTTAATTTGTTTTGTAAAGAGCTGTGCAAACTGTTGGCACTATAAATCTTGTATAATAACTATCTACAGTTAGCAGAGAGAGGGAGCACAAAAATCACTTTCAATATTATATATAACAGACCAAAAGGGAGCAAAGAAAAGTACATTTTTAGGATTTTTATACACTTTTTAAAATCCAAATGAACCTTTACTTTAAATCGGCTAAATACATTCCAGGTGCATCAAAACAAAAGGTGTATATAGTCTTGCATAGTCTTACAGCATTTTAGGTTTCTTCTTGTGATAATCAGAAAGGAATCGATAAAACCCACAAAGGAATGCCGAAGGAATAAGCACTAACATACATTTTTTTTTT